AAGAATGTCGTTTTCTCTTCATTTTGTCCCATCCCACCTCACCCCATCAAGAATTCTCACAAAATTTCATGTTTCCTCATGCAGGGGCTATTACAGGTGCAGTACATCAAAGGGTTGTTCTGCCAAAAAGCAAGTAGAAAGATGCAGAACAGATGCTTCAATGCTCATCATCACTTACACCTCTAGTCATAACCACCCAGGCCCTGATCTCCACACCACCAACCTAACGCAGTCGCCAAAAGAAACCCAAACCGACCACAGTGATGATCAGTACCCGACTCCTAAACAACAACAGCTGCCAGAAGATCCACAACAAGAAGAGCCGGAAGAAGTACAAAATGAACCCATCAAAACAAGCAGTGATGAAGATGCAAGCGAAGAGCATTTTCACTATCTACAATCCCCATTAAGCTCTCCCCGAAATATTATAATTAACCAAGAAGATCCTTTCACCGGGAATCTAGAGAAAACCCACGACACACTGGGGTTTCTATTGGATGAAGAGCCGCTGTCTTGCCCTCACATAACGACATCTTCAACACCAAAATCAGAAGAAAATGATTTCTTTGATGAACTTGAAGAACTGCCCATATCTTCAGCTTTCACAAGCTTCATGAGAAGCAAGATTTCCGATGAAGGAATAAATGTTGTCCCTTCTTGATCTGAGTGTTTCTCAGACTTAGAAAAATGTAATTAGGATGTTTATAATGAAGTGATTATGCCCCCACTACTAGTGGCTCTGGTTCAGCATCATCCTACTTTTTTTTACCTTTCTTTTTTTTCTCGTCTGAAGGTTCACAAAATGAGAGAGTTGGGTACCCTGGCGTGAAAAGTTCGTGGATTGCTGTCATTTTTTTTAATCTGGGAGACTGGGATGAAAATGCTTTTTGGCAGAACGGGGAAAACCTATCAAGTCCAACGGATATAGACACAACCACACACGCACTCCCCAAAGAGAGAGAAGATTGACGGTGGCTACTTTTGTTGGGTGCTAGCTCTTTTGCACATTAAGTATTAATTAATGAAGGCACGAGGTTCACGCCAGAAGAGCTGTGTTTGGTGGTTGCTCTCGTTATCTTGTTTTTGGTTCCTGTTTAACTTTCTTGTTGTAAGGGGTTCGGCCTTTTCTTTTTTGTTCACCTCTGGGTTGCGAGATTTAGATCGAGTTCCGGAATCTGTCTCCTGAAAAGTATACAGCGTACTTTTTGGATTGCCGAGTGGATTTTTGAGTTACAGATTCCCTTCTACATGATGCCAAACGAACCCCAAGAACCCCTTTCGTCGGGGTGAAACACCCACAGAGCCTCAAATTTGTCAAATTCCCATGTCGTATGCATCCACGTCATTTGATTTTAACTAGGAAAAATAAAAAAGAATTTTTTTAAAATTTATTTCTGTTTGGGTTTGCCCTGCCAACTATAATTACTCCACTAGATCGAGTCTAGAAGCGAAAAGGACATGGAAAGATGAACACTGGCATGACTGTTCTCACTTTGAAAAGAAGACTATTACGTGAAGGTTATTTCCGCTTGGACTTCGACAGTCATACGCGTGATGGATAATGTTCCACGCCCCATTGTTCATTCTCACATCTTTGTTCTTACTTTCAACCCCCAAATTATGTGATTTTTATTTTTGGTACAAAGGAAATTAATACCCTTTGGGCTGCTTTTAATTAAACCCCAGCTGTGTGAGCCAATCAACTCTTCGGAAGGTTGGCGAATCATTGAGAATCGCAAATAATTGGGACATCTTTACTTTTCTTTAGGGTTATTTCTGCTTTTGGGTAACCGAAATTTGTTTATTCAAAAGACAACAAAAATGCTTGTGGCACCTTTCACCAAAACTTATGCAAACAATATAAAACAACTAGGAAATACGACAGAATCATACTGTCAAAATCTCTTTATTCAAGCTCCAGCTGCAGCAAAAGTTGGAGATTCTTCCTTTCCTGATAACGTTTTGCAAGCTGTTCAATATGGCTAATTATCTGTACGGTTGGCCACCTCTGAGTTGGAGGTGAGGAAACTCCCATGCTTTCCCCCTATTCGTCCCTACAAATATTGTACAGATTGAAGATTCCCCCTTTCCTGATAACGTTTTACAAGCTGTTCAATATGGCAAATTATCTATACGGTTGGCCACCTCTGAGTTTGAGGTGAGGAAACTCCCATGCTTTCCCCTTATTCGTCCGTACAAATATTGTACAGATTGAAGATCTGGATAATCTGAGAATTATATCTAATTAGCCAGGGCTTGCCCTTTTAGAGACAGTTTGAACTATGGACTTCTGTCAGATGCTGCCCCAGACCTCCTTTGTAAAAGAAGAGGAGACACTTCAAAGCTACTGCACATAAGCAAGTAGTACAGTAGATCTGGTTAGAATTCATCAATCATATTTGATTGTCAAAAAACAATAAGGCCATCAAGATAGTGTTGAACTTTCTGTTTTAGACTCACTGTACGGTAGCAACAGTCAAGAACAAAAATCAAGAATTGGATGGTCATGTCAAGGCTGAAAAAGGTTGAGGCGGTAATGTAGTGATCTTTGAAACCAATCAACTTCTGTTGTTGATTACTGTCCGTGTGACAACATGTACCCGATGTCTGTAGCATGTCACCTCTTTTCTTTTATATATATATATATATATATAGATATATATTGTCTTTTGGCAAAACCTGACATCAATTTAAGTCGCCCAATTAGTAACACTGTTTTTCACTTTTCACTAGGTTTACAGCAGTCCTCCATGGCATGTCAATGGTTTCGCCACAAAAAATCTGACGTTAGATTAACCCTGCTGCTTACCCCGAATTCCATCTTGATGCCTTTGCAGGCGCTTTCAATGGATTAAATTCAGTCCCATCGAATGTTATGTTTAATATAAAATAAATAATATCTTAATTAAGTACAAAAACCATATAATATTAAGGCACTTTAATGATTAAAAGGCAATGGGGTCATCACCAACTGGAAGTTCATGAAAAGCCTAAAATCTATTACATACAAGCTAGAGAATTTAGTTGATAAACATGGTAAAAGAAATGGATCAATTAGACCTTTAATATCGATGCCTTATGGGATAATGATAAAGACGACATCCAAGAAACATTTATATTAAGCAACAAAGTGAACGAAGGCTTTGGCGGATAATGCAATTGATTAGAACTAGATTTTCATGTTGAAAAATGATCTCTACAGCAAAAGAGGTTTCTTAGAGAACAAGCACACTCCGTAAAAAGCTTCACCGATTTCTCAAGGTTTTATATTTGTTACATGATAAACATCAAAATTCATGTTGCTTCACCAGAAATATAATCATTATTTAGTATCCAAAGAGAATCGAAAAACTGGGCAATCATTTCCGGTTATCTCTACAATAGAGCCACGTCATTGATAGCAAAAGAGTACCTAAACTAAGCTATTCATTACTATCAGCTGTAGCAGCTAGTGGCTGGAGAGCTTTGAGAGGATTCATGATTACACCATCAATAAGTCCATATTCCTTGGCTTCTTTTGCGCTCATGAAAAAATCACGGTCAGTATCCTGGTTAATCTTCTCCAAACTTTGACCAGTGTGGTAGGCAAGATACCCGTTTAAGTTTGCCTTATGATGCAGCATTTCATTTGCCTGACAATCATGTTTACTAGTCAGGGTACTGTCTAACAACTGAACAACAATTATGAAGCTACACACAAAGGAGTTAAACAATCCAAATGAAAGCATCCCACTGGTGCACTGTTTAGTCTTTTTCTTAGAAGAAAAAAATTGGGTCCATTCTTAATAACAAAGTTTAAAAAGCCTCCCATTCCCCCAAAACCCACCTAAAAAGAACAAAAAAAAAAAAAAACTCTAGCAAAAAGGGATGTTCACTAGTGCTTGGCTGTCACGTATCATAAACATCAAAGATACAATTCATTGTATCTGATTTATGCAGAGAGGGTTAGGGGAGGCAGAAAATTTCAAATTTAAACAAAATGAGGTTTGCCAAGAAAAATACATACCTGAATATCAATATCAGTTTGCCCTCCTTGAGCTCCACCAAGAGGCTGATGTATCATTATCCTTGAATTAGGTAAACTGTATCGTTTTCCTGAAGTTTTGGGAAAAAAAACACACACACACAGAGGGATGAGCACATTTAGTAGACTGGCGAAAACAACTACACCGGACAAAGAAGCTTTGAATGGTACAAATCACAAGCATTATATACCTTTGGTTCCGGCACTAAGCAGAAAAGCTCCCATACTGTTCATGAAAAACAAAATATATCCATTAGTAATAGCAAACAATTGCATCCACAGGCAAATAGAAATTCTTATTCCCAGGACCAACCACAAACATCTGAATTTAGAAAAGTATTTCACATCAAAGGGTTTGCAACTTTTAATAATCAATCATTAGGCTTTTGCACTAAAAACGTTATTTTGTCATAATTAACAAAAACTCAAGCTATAAACCAACACTCAACTTCCAAGCATCCAGTAACAATTACATAAAGAACTTAAAATTATTTTTTCACACCATTGTCCGCGGAATTATATAGTCTTCTAGATTATAGGAAAAACAAAGGGATTCACAAAAATCTTGGAACTGCCTTATACCATCCATCTCAAATTGCCAGAAAGGAATCAATGATTACAGCTGCACAATTCCATTAATAAAAATGCTTTAAACATTTCACACAGAACTAAGCACCAGCTTTTTGGTGGAATGCAATCCACAGCCAGGTAAAGACCGGCCTTGGCTCTGTAACTAATGTTATAACTAGCAAAACCCAAATTGTAGATTCAGTTATTACCAGAGAAAACTAGGACAAGTTATTAGACAATTAATTCTCGAGAGATATAAATCACAAGAAAAAGCAAACCAAAAGTTGCAATATTAACCCCACCTGTTGGGTTTCTAGGATGACCTGCCAAGATCAGGGTAAGGTTTTTCTGCAAAAGGAGCAGGCAGTTTAGGCCAACCCATCCCCCAAATCCTTCACCCACCCTTACCACCCTCACATTGGGGGGCTACTCCTTTGTCCGTTACCCACCCTTGTGCCAAGAAATATTTCCCATCCAGCACCTAGCTGCTAGCACTCATAAATCCATTATTATTTATTATGATGTACACTTGAGACTGAGTGTATGCCATGGATCAAAATGTAGCCATACAAACTACTATGACCAGACATACAGGCTAGAACTAGGCCTTAAACCTATAATGTTCTGGCAGTTGGGACACCAAACAGAATGCACATAACCCCTCTTCCTCCAAAGTGGGGATTAAACTAAATGTGGCTTTAACATACAAAGTGTAAAAGGGTTCTTTGTGATAGGGAGATGAAGCATTGCAAACAAGTAAAAGATGTATCAGAGATGGCGGAGAGGAAGATCGAAGCAATTCCTAAAGTACTCCAAACTATAAGAGGGTTCTTTGTAATAAGGAGAGGAAGCGTTACAAACAAGTAAAAGATGAATCGAAGATAGCGGAGAGAAAGATCAGAACAGTTTTAGAAGTACTCAGTGTCGTGATAGGAAGAAGAGATTAAGTAGAGAATTAGAGGGTAGAAGAGAAGTAGAGAGATGCTCTGAGTGAGAACAAGGTAGTTCTAAAAAGGTCCCTCAAATGAATTGTGAAGACTCTATATATAGTGCCAGAAATGGCAATTACTCAAGAATAGGTTTTAAAACACGTAATAAGTAACGACTTTAATATCGGGTGACTATTATTGAGCTTTTAATGTTGAGTAACATTTAGAAATCCATTATGTAACTATTAAAGTAATGGATTTTATGAATGTTAATAATATATGAGATTTATGTAAATGGAAGAGGTATATAGGAAAAGCTATACAAGAACAACTTAAGGGAAAAAGGTGTATGTGAATAGGTACAAGAGAAAAAGATAAGAAGAAAAAACACTTGTACTTCAGGAAAAGGTCAAAAGAAAACCTCTTAACTACCTCCATATCTGAGCCACCAAACCAAACTCTCTTAAACATTATAAGATGAAAATAACCGATAAACCCTACCACTTATTCAAAATTACTTTCACCACCTTCCGCGTGAAATAGTTATCCTATGCGAAGTAATGCTTCACTTGTAATGGTTGTTCTCATTATTCTCTATACAATATTATACTGTAAAATAATTTTTTAGGGTAGGTATTAACCAAAATCAAGGACTAACACAAAGCTCAGGCATCTAAGCTAGAGAACATGAGTAATAAAACCAATCTCTATCATATGCCCTTAAATACATTGAAGCCTTATAACAAATTTGGCCAAAAGTAAAGTTTATTACACATTAAGAAATATTCTCTTCAAGGATCGGATATCAGTCAGAATGAATCGAATACCATACTTTACGTTTTTGAAGTTAAGATCAATAATACTTAAATAATAGACAAAGTAGACATAGCTTCAAAACCATTGTTTTCCAATGTTTCATATCAAGCTGTGAACATATTGTGTTATAAACAGAAATTATTAAATCAATGAATTTATACCTAGCTGCAAGTCCAACACACACAGTCGAGACATCAGGCCGGATGTGCCTCATAGTGTCGAAAATGGCCATACCTAAGAAAATGCAAAGCCATACAAGTTAGGCAAGTCTATAAAAATTATCCATAGCTTACTATTTTAAACAAACTAGTGCAAATATAAATACTAGAATCTCATGAGATAGTATATTACCAGCTGTAACTGACCCTCCAGGGGAATTGACATACATGACAATATCCTGTTGACAAGATAAAAAAACCACCAAGAGGTAAATAACACTCACAATGACATTTTAGGTTTATTTTTTTTAAAAGAAGAAAACCAATGTGTTTGCAATTGAGAAAATGCGAGCCTGGAACCAAACAGACCTTGTGAGGATCAACAGCATCAAGATAGAGAAGCTGAGCTACAATAATGTTTGCCATATCATCATCAACAGCTCCACCACAGCGAATTATTCTCTAACAATCAAAAGAAACAACCAATATAAGAAACCTGATAGAAGAGAAACCAAAGTCTTTTTAAACAAAATTTCACAACCAAACCAAATTCATACATATTGAAAAAGTTGGCTAATAACACTCTGAAATCGCTCTTGCACCATCGGAGGTGGCCCCTGCCCTTGTGCGTACGTAGGGAAGTAGGGTGATGATGGGACTTGCAAATCATCCCTGCATAATTACAAAGTAAAATCTTCTTTTTTTCTTTTTTGAAAAAAAAAACCCCCCGCTAGACAATGTAGGGTTGAATTTATACCAATTTTTACCTTATTGACCAAATTCCTTGTCGAGAGGTTGTCTCTGAAGCCCAAAACTCTCCAGTGTAAACAGCCTTTGGCTGAGAACTCATCACATTCTTTTGATTACTAACTAGCTTCTTCAATTTCCTGAAAATTATAATTAAGAAACTCTTACTTTTGAACTTAGCCGATTACGTGAAAACTGAAAAACAAAAAGAAGAAAAACATCATGAAACAAAATCTATCTTGCACCCTCTTCACAGAAACCAACATTAAAACAAAATGCGGACTTCAATTACGGTTGGAAGAACGGTAACTCTACCTCCTAGATTCCAGAATGTCGACTTAAACGTTCAATTCAAAACAGACTTGAAATCTAAGAATTATATTACAGTTTCCTAGATTGGACAAAGAGAAAGAGGGAATAAAAAAGAATACCTGGGACGAAAGGGATGGAAAGGAAGAGATAACTTGTGAGAATCAAGATTGGTGCTTGAGTTTGGAGAGAAGAGCAGCGAACTCAACCGAAGAGACGAAGCGGATGTCGAGACGCACGTGTGTGCCATTGTTATCTAACTTACCTGTCTGAACCAGATTTAAACCAAAATTGAAACACTAATTTCAGCCAATTTAGAGGCGTATTTCTGGAGTTGTATTGGTTGAGAAAAGGAAGGTGACCTTATCTCCCAGTTTAGGGCTAAGGCGGCGCTGGGGGCTTCTGGAACGATAAGGGTAGTGTATAGCTCTCTAGAGAAGTGAAGCGGAACAAGAAACTAGTTTTACTGAAACAGCGACTTCCTGAATATCCTTTCCCCAAGCAAAGCAACAAATCTTCTTGTTTGACCCGAATTTTAATTACGGATGGGTTACGACCCGGGAGCATAGAGTAGCATATCGTCTGTATGTTGTCCTTCCTACTTAATTTGTTTATAGGCTTTTCCCACTTTTCCACTAAAAATAATTATTGTTACAGCCCAGGAGTTAAAGCCCGGCCCCTTAAATTGGATAGGGATCCAACCCAATGTTAGTGGCATGGTTAAATGTCTTTAACAAAGAAATTAGTAAGAGTTCAATTACATGTTCTTGACAATTGTGAATAATTTAGTGTAATTCGTTAAATAAACATGTAGATAGTCAAATGTAAAACAGCCTTTCAAATCATTCAATTACGTTTGTTTCGAAGAAATCAATATTTTTGGTGCTTGGAAATTAGGGGCGTTGTTCAATTTTTGACAACTTGCTCATCATTGATCTTCCTTCTTTATTTACATTTTATTGGTTTTAGATCAATCCACCACAAAGAAAAAACAGGAAAGGAAAAATATTAGTAAATTTCATGTTTGTATCTTTTTCCTTCCATAAGTACACAGTGAATTTCTGAAATATATGTATAGCACAGAGCCTTTGGAAAATGAGTCATGTTCTGAGCATTGTTTCAAGTTGTTGATTTCTTGACACACCCTCAGCAGCTGTCGCCCTAATGCATTCCATGTGAAATAAACTTGGATGCTCTTTCCTTGATAACATTGTACCATGTAGACAAAAGACTTTCTAGGCAACCTGCCTTGTAAAATATTAACCACATCGCAGAATCAACCTCCTTTCAAAAAAGAAACTAGCGGCTCCACAAAAGTATAAGGGAGCGATATACAGACTCAGTTTAATCTCTCTATCCTAAGTTGGAAATTATGCCGTTATACTAAGCTCTGATACATGAATCAAGACATAAATGTGCAGAATTTTACCATAAGCACAGAGGTTAGTACTGGATTTTTGGCAATGTTAGCAGGTAGTTTCAGCCAGCAGCTGTTCTTGAATTGCCCTGTAGCACTGCAGACTACAAAGAGGTAGCTTTGACTTCGAATCTCGATACTTGTATGGGTTATTACATGATGGACCCGCACAGTTTTCCCGTGGAGGAGGGTAACTGAATATCCAACCAAACCAGAAATGGTTATATAACAGAAAGCCAATATTAATAGTTGAATCAACGTAAATTTTGCAATGAGCAATACCTGGAAGGTTTGGAGTCAAATATACTAGGGAAACCCATATCCCTGGGAAATGTGACTGTTGTCCCTGTAGGACCCATGACCAATCTGATGATATTGGATGCAAGCATCTCTGCATTGACAGCCTTTCCCTGTATATAGTAAGGCAAGAAAATTAGACGAAATG